AATATATATAATAATAATAATATTATATAATATAATAATAATATATATTATAATAATAATAATTATTATTATATAATATAATTATTATAATAATAATTATGGCGAGCATGAGGCCTTATCTGTAGACAAGCAGCCATGTATGCAAAGATACTTTTCTAATCTTGGAGCTTGCATGTGTGACGTTCAACTTAAATCCTGGAAAAAAGAAGGAAAGGTAACTTTGCACTGTTTAAAATATCTTTAATGGTTCAGTTGGTATAGGATTTGGAAGCATTAAGTCAAGACATGGTCAGCAGCCATACAAAAACAAAACCAACTAATCAATGTCGACTGAGAGGAAAATAAAATATAAAAAGCAACACAAAAAAATAGGACAATTAGGCAATGTCATCACAGTAAAAAGATACATCGATCCTAGTCAAACGCAACCGCATGGTGAAGATCAAAAACCGGTAGCAAATTGAATGATGACACATTCACACACACACTCAAACACACATACATTCATCCACAACTTGACTACAGGCTGTAGAACAACCCGATAAAATGTACAGTAAGAAACCTTTAAAAGAGAGAAAAAAAACTATGCATAGACAAATAAAGAATGTTTTTTTTTTTTTTTAAGTAAACATAAAAAGACAAATGTCTTAGTCACAGGCGGACAGCGTGATAGATCTGTTGGCTGATTACTTGAACAATGATCGATGAAGACATTCAAATAGAAGTTATTGCCAACAACAAATAATGGATAACACTTGACCCATACAAAAATTATGATTTTTTTCTGAAACATTTTAAAAGTGATAGTAGCTTCCACAAACGTCAAGAATGTACAAACAATGGTCAATGTGCCGAGGCTTCAAAAGTCTTCGGCTGAATGAACATTATAAATCACGAGGCAGACATGCTTGGCTTTAAAACATTACGTTACAATTATTTTTTAAGTTATACAAGTTAACAAACTGTATTTAAAACACATTAAATATTGAGCGTGTCACTAGAAAAACATGTTGGTTGTTAACATATATTCCTTTGAGCTTTTCCAGTTGAATTAACACAGAGAAGATACTTTTTGAAATCACTGAAGGAATAAAAACATGATTAAAAAGTTTTCTTTTATCCATTGAACCAAACATAAAATCTCTGCGCTAGATATCAAAATGTATTTTTTGCAAAAATCCCATTGATAATAGTGCAAGTGATACAGTACAGTCAGAAATAGCACACAGCTCTTATGTTTGGCTTCACATGGTTAGTAACAGGTAGTTAAAAATTAGAGTTTGTGTGATTTTAGTGTGAACAAAGAGCCACCGCTGATGAAATTAAACTATCTACTGGTTCTCTCTCTAATGATGTGTTTGAGGAAGTCAATTCAGTAAACAATAAATTACAACTACAGCTTGTCTATTAACAATTCTTCTTAGATCATTATGTTAATGTCATTTTACAGATAAAAAACACCAAAAATGATAATTGGCACAATGATTGTATTTTCCCATCTATTTGTACAACAACAAAAAAAGATTTTACATGCCGGAACAACTGCAAACCAGTGTTGGGGAGAATGTGTACACCTGTGTTTCATGAGATTAGAAATTCCTAGTGTCGTTAATTATTACGCTTTCCACAAGAGAAAGGTTTTTTGCACTTTCAACAGCCTATGGTTCAAAACAAAGCAGCAGAAGAACAAGAGGGGCCTCGTTTATAAAACTAGATTTGTTGAGAAGAAAATAGTGTTCTTTCTAAAATCTCCTTTCACCCATCAATCCAGTCCCTAGCCTTGGCACCCTATCTGCTCACTCCCATAATTAAACATGAATGATTAATGGCAGGCCTGCTGTGAGTGTTAACACACACATCAATCAGTGTGTCATTCGAATATTTGTAAGTGAACAAAAAAGGTCAGACTGCAAATACACAGAGAGGGATGTTTGTTAAACGTCACAGATGTTGATTCAGTAAGACGTAACGCTTTGTGGTCATTTCTTAGTTGACCGGTAAGAGACAGTTAGCAAATCACAACAGCAGTGAGCTCCACAGGATTAGAAAGGCAAATTCTTAAATAAAAAACACGTTGTTTATGCATGGTATTAAACAAAAAGCCAGAGGTAACCAGGGCTCACTGCACTTGGTAAATGTGTCTTGGTTCTACGTGTTCAAACGTCCTGTAATTGGCCTGTCATTGTCCTCCTTTTTCACTCAGCATTTCCCTCTTTCTGTCGGCATGTTAATGTTTTGCTGCTCAGGTGCTGCATCCTGTGCTAGGACCCGCCCTAGAAATACGTTAACAAAAAGGGGTTTTGTTCCCAGAATGTTTACGGGTGCAGCCTGACCTTTCTCACAGGCTAGGAAGGACTATATATATATAAATAAAAGAAACATTACTTTTCTGAGAAGAGTTATTAATACATTAAACTTTATTTGGCTACTTTGTCTTCAGCATGGAAGTTTCAGAAATGTTCCAGAGTATCTAGAACAGCTGCGTGGGAGATGGCGTTGCCATATTTCACGCCTTTTTCTATACACCTCAAATGTTATAAATGAGGCCCCTTGTGTGACAATACAAAAGCCTTAATGACACATCAGCTAAATCAAAACAATGTCAGCCCCATTAGGGTAAGCAGAAATAATAAAAAATGTCTCCCCTAACACGATCGACCATCACACTCGTTGCTTGACCCAAACTATATTTCTCTTTGCTTCAATCAGCTGCTGCCGGTCACTTTGCTCCAGTGACCGCAGCAGATATATCACGTAACACTGCCTAATGTCTCAACACAGACAAAATAATACAAAACCAACCCACCCACCCACAGAAAAAAAAACTACATTTGATATTCATCCACACGACCTGCGAGTGATTTCACTGACTGCCTTGTTGCCGAGGCTTGAGCACATAGTGACTCTCAGGTCATGGTGGGCCAGCTCGAGTGGGGGGGGTTGAAGAGGCTGGGGGAGAGAGTGAGGCAGCCACCTCCTGGAGTCTCATTCCCTCCTCTCCTGTCCCTCCTGGGCCCCCTCCTCTCCTGAGCTCATCAGTGTCGCGTTTGTGGAGTTTGGGTTGCTGTGTGGATCACGTGCGGGGGGGGAGGGGTGGAGAGGGGGTGCAGTGGAGGGAGATTGAGGGGACCAGTGTCACTGTCGCCGATCCTCCGCCTCCTGCCGCGAGAACGCCATGACCACGTCCTCTGCACCTGAAAACCAAGAGCAGAATGTCAGGCATGTCCTGCAAATAAATACACTGTTTGGGATTTCAATTACACAGACAGAGATATTAACACAACCTGCTATTCTACAATGTAAAACAATGCAACAAAAGCATAAACATAGGCAAGATTGAAAACCAAGAACAGTGTAATAACAGTGTAATGTAATGTGTTGATGTATAAGTGTATTACATTAAACGTTGACAAAGGAGGTTTTAATATCCAGAACAAAACAGTGTCTTTTACTGTGATGACTGGAAATGTCTCAGCTCTTTCATCGATACAAGCTGTGACCTGATTTGTGATCAGTTTCTGTCTGAGACTGGCGAGTGAACCAAAGACTTATATAAACAGAAAGAGGCACAAAAAGATCTGCGTTCAGATATCCATAATAATCTGGCAAAAGGAGCTCAAATGTGTCCAAAGCAATAAACTGGGCTCAGATTTTATTTTTCTGCTCACTGTGTTCTTTCTGGGAACGTGTGGCAACTGCTACAAACAAAAAACTAAATCTCAATCCTGGTTGGTTGGAGTATTTCTGTAGAGTATTTAAATTTCACATTCTGTTTTTATGTTTGACATGTATATAGTCTAGTTACTCTGAATTTTACTTGCACCTTTGTATCCCTTACATTTATTTATATTCCTTCTCGCACTATTTGTATGTATATATATACAGGACTGTCTCAGAAAATTAGAATATTGTGATAAAGTTCTTTATTTTCTGTAATGCAATTTTTTAATTGCATTACAGAAAATAAAGAACTTTATCACAATATTCTAATTTTCTGAGACAGTCCTGTATATATATACATACAAATAGTGCGAGAAGGAATATAAANACCACAGCGACCCTCTTTCTGGCGGGACAATCCCAACTCCTCCATCCACTTCGCTGTGATTCGCCTCTGCTTGTTGGCATGCTGTGTGGCTTCAACCTCCAGCCACGTTAGTCTCCAACACGAATGAACTGTAATTGCCATTTTGTGGGAATAAGTGTGCCGTCACACGTCATGTAACCATCCATTTGGTTGGAGGTCCATGCTGCTCAGGGTAGGTGAAGCTGACCTGCTGTGCAGGCCTTTAAGTTTCTCCAAAAGTACTGTTTGGTCGTGTTTATATTTGGTTTTAATGGCGGTGCATTACGGGGTGTCACGTTTGGGTACAGTGTAAACCCGGTTCGGATGAACTTCATCATCTGTTTGAACCCTTCCCCCTCGACAATGTTTACAGGTCTCATGTCCAGTGCCACAAAATCTGCAATTTTGTCGGTGATGTCTCTCTTCCTTTTCTCGGAAAGAGGGGGCTTCAAAACGAGTGTTGTCTGTGAGAGTTTCAATGGCGGCTGCGAAGATGAAGTTGAGGTAGATGCGGTGGCCCTATCAACGTATAGTGGATGAGCCTATTGAGAGAAATGCACATTAATTTAAGTTTACACTAAGCCTAATAGCCCATAATATGACAATACATTTTATCTAACAGGCTTTTTATTAAGGCTAGAGCCGCAGAGCGTCCATCTTTTAATGGCTTTAACGGTACTTACATGTTTCAGGTGATAAGTCATGTTTGTAGTTGATGAATGATAGGAGAATATTTGCTTGCAAAGTTTGCATATCACCTTCTTCGGGTTGTCTGTTACTTTTTCGAAATGCTCCCAAGCTCTTGATTTTACGCCTGACATGGTTAAAACTATCAGCTTATCTGACGTGAAAACAAGTGACTCACTGTCACCTCCTGTTTCCCGGTTTGTTTGTTTGTTTGTTTTTCTCAATCTTTCTTTTTTTTTTTTCGGCGACCAACGACCAATTAAATCTTGACCGACCAAAGACTCTTTGGCCGACTAACCTTTGGTCGACTAATCGGGGGGCAGCCCTAATAATCTCCCACTTGGCTGTGAGTTAAAAGGTTTTCTGAGCTGTAGAAATCAGGGGTGGGGATGAAAATCGATACTGAAATGCATCATGTTTCTTTATGAAATATAAAGCCTTTATGTAGAAAAATCTATAATTGGAGAATGTACAGCCCAATTCTGTACATTATGATCGCCACTCACTGTTAGTTTGGGCAGTCTGTCTATTTATGATGAATAATTAAAGTACATTTGTCTGTTTATTTTATAAATAAATATTATATGTTAAGCTTTAAAGGTAACAAGTAGTCTCATGGTGAAAAAAATAAATGAATCATGTAAAGAAATCAAAATGAAGATTTGATGTGTCTAATTAAATGACCTCTGAACATTATCTAATCATAAGGTGCCTAGAGATTTCCACTTCCAGTAGAAATGAAATCCACATTGCTTTTTCACTTCCTCTGCTTCAAAGTCTTAAGATAAAAATAGCGTAATATTGGTTTGCTAAAAAAGCACACTGTTTTCTTTTGTTGCTGCTCAGCCTGCTGATGACTCAGCCCTTTCAGCTTGTCTGATTATACCTTTTAGTCTGCTACTATATAGGGTTTATAGTAACTTTCATCCACCTCCACACAATACGAGTCGTGTGACTGCTGTTAAATTGAAAAAGCATTCCGGCTATCAGCACAGGAGCCACCATTAGCGGTGTAATGCTCCAGGCAAAGAGGTTTTCTAGCCACAGTATCTAGCGGTGTGAAACCAAAGCTAGTTTAAAGAAGCATGGTGCTCCAATACCAGCGTCCTCAGGGGGTCTCGTATAGAGCTATAGTGTCACGTGTCAGACATGGCTTTGTCGATCGAATGGCGGCATCATGCTTAGAGGGCGCTGGAGGCAGGACATGGAGAAGCACTCGGTTATTGATTACTCTTAGTCAAGGCTGGGCTGCATTAAAGACATAAGTAGAAGTGCAAGTGTGAGAGCAGACCAAAGGTAATGTGACAAATGGGTTACATCCTTGCTGTTGTCAGCTTTAGCTTATTCTGATAAGAAAAACAAATGTGTAGGGTATGCAGTGTAATCCATCCTGAGGTTTTGTCATTCTTCCTCACAGCCATTGATCGGACTGATTGGAAAAGAGTCTCTCCTTCAGACTCTGCTGTCAAATATTATTCTGTCTCCTTCTTGGAAAAACAAGAGAAAAACTAACTCTTGGTCTGCAGCTCGTATTTCTTTTAAGTCTGTGGGTCATGTAATTTGCATTTCAGATCGTTTTTAATTGCCTGATTAGCATACATGCAAATACATTATTTTGTTTTTGCAATTTAATCAGGCCAAAGAGGAATTCTCAGCCAAAGGCTCTGGAGCTTTTTTCTTATTCAGCTTTTTAGCTGAAGTACCTTGATGTAGCTTAATTCTGGCAGTGATCAGGACGGTGCGCGAGCTTGCATGCTATTTATAAACGCTGTTATTGTGATTCGAAATGAAGTGAGAACTCATTAAATAAGGCATGGGTTTTTTCGGGGCTCTGTGTAAATTGCTCCAGTTTTAGTTATACTAAACTCTGTGTTGCAGAGAGCTTCGATTGCATAATACAAGATGCACAGAAGTTTGTCTTTATCAGCTTTGGTTCTTCCCCCTTTATCTCTCTTATCCCATGCTTTTTATGGCCGACAACAATGTGTCACTTTGAACAATACAGTTTGTCACAGATAAACTTGCCTGATTTGACAAGGAAAGTTTACTCCTCCCCCCAGAAGCATGTCTCAGGGCCTCAACAAAAGGGATAGAGGAGGATAGGGTTTCCATAGCAACCTCTGTTGTCCTGGGAAAGCTGAGGTCCCTTGATGCCTTTGGTGTTGCTGCAACGTGCTGCATCGGTAGATTGGAGCAGGTGTCATTGGGAAGCAAGCTGGAGTGCTAATTACACAGAGAGAGTGTGATGTACCAATCTCTCTCTGTCCCTCTCCTTTCTTACACAAACATGAACGGTCAATTCACCATCTTGTTTAGATTTCTCTGTATTACACTCCTTGTATAACGCAATCCTTTAACCCACCTTTTCAAGTGGGAGCCATGTGACAACGCCTTAATGTGGCAACTCGGCCAGAGTGCTATTGATTCTTCATGTATCCTGTTGTCACTGAAGCATGAATCACAGCCAGATTTATGAAGTGTCACGACTACCTGACTCAAACTCTGAGAAAATCGTGATCTAATTGAAGTTTAATCAAACTGATTATGAGTATTGGGATCGGCTCTCTAAAAAAAACACCTGCAGAAGATGATTGACTTTCTTGATGTGGCCCATAAAATGTGGAATTTAATAAATCTATCTTTTACGGCTCCATTTAAAAGAGATAATGTCTCTGAGAATTGTTTGCTGCTGATTGAAACAAATCCCAGAGCTTGTTAAATCTCTGTAATATCACAGTTTGAAGTGAAGAACACAAATCTGACATCACTGGAAAACTTCATCAATCATTTGCAAAACCATCAATATACCATCAAAATAATAACCAAGCAGCAGTTAGAAAAGTAGAGGTCTGATCTTGCATGTCCCTCTTATACTCATGTGGAACTTAAATACATTATAAAAGAGGTAGAAGGTGATAGCCAAATGCTAAATAATATAAAATGTATGGTGAGTTAGAAAGAGAGAGATAATTGAAGGACTTTATACTTAAGAATAAAGAGTAATTAACTCAGTGTCTTTATGTGACAGATCATGTGTTAAATTACACCCTCTGTGTGTTTGTAAATTTAAACATGTTAAGCTGGTGGGGGGGGGGGCGGCGTTTCGTGTCTTGATCGCCCCAAAAGGATTTTGTTCTGGCTGCTTATAGTGGGCTGAGGATGCAACTAATGATGATTTTAAATACATCTCAGTTGGAAGATTCTGCTAACAGTGTTTCCGCTGCATCCATTTAGCAGTGGGGCACCACCACAGCAAAGAATTAGCAACATTGTAATTTAGCCCTATTGCTATTTATAGCTACATGCAGATGCCTTAGAAGTTATGATTATATAATATTTCAATATATTAAAAAAAACTTACATTTTAAACATAACCCAAACATCAGCAGATATGATACGCAACTATAAAATGATTGCCCAAAGAACCACTGCTTCATGATT